AAAATGCTGTGGTGCATTTACACCGTGGAATACTATGCAGCTGTAAAAAAAGAAGGATCTCTTACCCTTTGAGAGAGTGTGGAGGGACCTGGAGAGTATCACGCCAAGTGAAATAAGTCAGTCAGAGAAAGACAAGTGTCCCATGATCGCACTCATATGTGGAATCCAAGTAACAAAATAAACTGAGGAACGGAGTGGGTCCAGAGCCTGGAAGCAGGGGACAGAGTGCGGAATCTGGGAGGGAAGGGGGGGGGGGAGGTAATCCACCAAAGACCTTGTATGCACATATGCATGGCCCATGGACACAGACAACGGGGTGCTGAAGGCCTGGGGGTGGGGGGCAGGAGCGGGCTGGAAGGGGTCAATGGAGGGAAAAGGGGGACAAACGTAAAACTTTCAACAATGAAGATTGAAAAGAAGTCCAGGTCCTAGAGCCGCACAACTCAGAGGTGAAGCCACCTGCGCCTCCTCTTGCCATTGGACCAATGGCAGCTTACTTCAGGCTCTGAGCCTCACTGTCTTCACCTGCGGAATCCCCGCGTCCCAGCGGCTGGGAGGCCGCCCCAGAAGCTGTGAGAAAGCGCCTGCCTGTCCCAGTGGCGGCTCGGTGTCCCTGTCAGGCCCACAGCCTGCACTCTGATTCCCACACTCACAGCGTTCCTGCTGGAGGACAAGGTCAGAGCCAAAAAGTCCTGCCGAGGACAGGAAGTCCCCTCCCTGCCCCGCCCGCTCCCTTTGGGGGCCCCATGCCCAGGGCAGGGTGGGGGCAGTGCTGCAGCCCGGACACAAAGCCCGGAGCCTGCTGACACTGGCCATGCCGACCACCAGAAATTTTAAAAATCCACCTTCTTATCTCAGGGCAGGTGACACCCCCCTCCCCCGGGCTGCAGGAATGCTGGCAGGGTGCCCCTCCCCCTCCAGGCTGGGAAAGAAGCTGGGAGGGGAGTGCCGAATCCCCCCTCCACCCACCCCCCATCCCCACCCCCCAAAACACCCATCACTGGCTCTGAGACCCTTCAGACCAGAACATTCCAGGGAGTTCAGAGCTTGCAGGCTGAGCCGGGTGCCCTCCACTGCAGACCCCTCCCTGGGCAAGCCCATCCCCCACCACAGGGGCCACAGGGAGCTCTCCCCGGGGACCCCCAGCATGCCTCCTGGGACTCCGTTTCCCCACCAGTAGTCTCTCTGAATAATTTCCTTATTCTTCCTGAAAACACCTGCCTGGTGTGGTGGAAAGAAATACACGCCCCTGAATCCAGACCCTGGGCTTGAACAAATCCCTTCCCTGCTCTGTGCCTCAGTTTCTCCGTCTGTGGAGTAGGAGTGTTACCCTCACTTCCTTCAGGAGGAAGAATAAAACAGGCGCATGATGCAAGAACCGCTTTCAAAGCCCTACAAGCGGGGCTCTGTCGGGAGGGGCAGGTGGTTTCTCCCACCTGAGCTGGACACACCTGCCCCACCACACACACACACACACACACACACACACACACACACACACACGTCACAGCCCGGGGGAGGGGGGGACAAGGCGGGGGCGGGGGGCGGTAAAGGAGCTCCTGTTTCCCCAACGCTGCACCCCTCTAGACGGAAACCCTGGAGGCCAGCAACACGGGGCCAGCAGGAAGCAGGCTCCCAGCAAGTGTTTGTTGAATGAACATCTGACTGAATGGATGGAAAAGATGATGTCACCGCTTTAAGGGACGGGAAGAGATTAACCCAAGAACATACATGCACATGGGCACAGCCCATGGACACAGACAATGGTGTGGGGGGGCCTGGGGCAGGGGCTGGGCGGAGGGGGGGCAAAGGAGGGCGAAATGGGGGCATCTGTAATACTGTCAACAATAAATAGTAAAGAAATTAAATTAGAAGTTCTATCAGACAGGGCAGCTTCCCATCCTGTTCAGCTTGCAGGGTAAACCCCCCTGGGGAGGCCGGGCGCGGGTCCGAGTGCCAGGCTTCGGCGAGGGGCATGGAGAGAAACTTGGAAACTGGAGCACGGCGGTGAGAGGAAGCGGCGCTGCAGGAGGGACCGGCCCCGGGGGGGCCCCCCTTCCGCCCCTCAGCCTGGCTGTCTCGGGAAGGCCGGGACCTAGCCGAGCCTGGCGGCGGGAACAATGCCGGGCAGGTGCCGGCGGAGCTGCGTGAAAGGCCCAGCCCGGTGTCATTGTCAGCGCTCAGCCAAGTGCAGAAAAGCAATTTACTGGTCACGCCGCTTGCTCCCCTTGGAAATTTTTAAAATTCTTCCGATTTGAGCTATCCGCGGCGTCCCAGGTCGTGTGGAGAAGGGATTTTATTAAATCTCAGCTTCCCACTTCCTGGGGTAGCCGGCGGGAAGGCGGGGCTCGCCCCGCGGGGATGGGGAGGACCAAGCCTGGCACTGACTATGCTGGGGGAACTGTGGCTGGGGGACGGGCGGGGGCCCATTGTGGGCCCGGGGCTGATGAATGGGAAGAGGGGAGGAGCCCCAAAACTTCACTACTCCAGTCCCCCAAAACATGGAGGTGGGGGGAGGGCATGGGTGTGCTCCTGGGTGGATGCGGCTTTGCAAGACTTCTTGCACACCTACCAGGGCCGCCCCGTTCACAAATGAGGAAGCGAGGAAGCCAGGCACACGGGGGTGGGCAGATAGGGAAAGACGGGGTTGCACAGCCCCTCCACTGTGCAGGGGGCCAGCCCTGCTCACGGGGGACCTCCCGCTACCTCCCTCGAAGCTCACCCAGCCCAGGAAGCGCTGCTGCAGGAATCTGCCCCACATCCCCGCCCGAGGGAGCAGACTTCAGACGCCCACAACTAACTCCTGGGTCCCACCTCTATCTCTATGGCCACTCCACCTTTGTCCCTAGAGCATGAGGGGGGACGTGAGCCTGCCGACCTTGCTGTGACACCCTGTGGCGCTGTTTCTTCATCTGTTAGGGGTCCTAGTGCCTTTGAAATCTGTGGGGAGCTGGGAACCCCAGCCCAGACACAAGCACATTTGGACACCGTTTGGGTGCAATGTTTTGGGGGGCCCTCCCCCGCCCCCCATCCTGAGACCCTCTTAGGGTGAAGGGGTTAAAAACATCAGTCCCACGGCAGTTTGAATGGGGGAAAGCTGCAAAGCAAAGGGGAGGTAGGAGAGGGGGCTCCCTCACCTGCTTGGAGTCCTCACCCAGATGGACGTAACCCAGACAGACCACCCAGCTCTTTCCCGGGAGGCTGGCTCCAGCTCTGGCCAAGGAGGTGGAGGTGGGATGCAGGGGCCAGGTTCCCTCCCTCACACTCCCCCCCGAGAACACAAAGACCACACAGCAACCCCTCCTGGGCCCCACTTCAAGGACGCAGAGGCAGCAAAGTCCGCAGCCATCTCTCCGCAGGCCCAGCCCTCGGGGAGAGAGCTCTTGCCCTGGTAACACAAGCAGATCCGCCAGCGTGACCCTAGGGCCTGCCCTCTGCGTAGGGACTCAGCTGCAACCCAGGCAGGCCATGCCTGGCACTGGCCTCTCTCTCTGACACCAGCCATTCCCCCATCCCCACCCCCGCCCCCGCCACCACACAGGGTCACATCTGCTTTGGCAAACAGCCAGTCTTAAGTTACTGACTCCAGTTGTATTGATTCAAGGAGTCACTGGGGACCCCCTAGCCTGACCAACAGGAGGAAAGAACCCATCAGTCTGTCCATCCATCCATCCATCTATCTGTCCATCCTTCCTTCCAGTCCCCAGCCCCAAAAGCTGTCCCCAGCTCAATGCCTGACGGATGGTAGCAATCCTCTCCCAGAAGTGGGAGGGCAATAAGCAGACCCACCACCAGCACACAGCACTCCTCACGCTGGGAAACTGAGAACCACCGGTTCCCCTGCTCAAGGCCCCCTCAGCCCCTCCAGAACCCAGAAGCCTAAAGCCCGAGCATCCTCCCTAACCTTGTGAGGACACCTGCCTGCAACCCAGAGGTGGACAGGGAAGATAATCTCTTTTGGCCCCAGTCCAGCTCCTCGGAGGGCCCCTCCCCTGCGGCTCTAGGTGGGTGGGGGGCGAGGGCCGCTGGCACTTCCTATTCTCTTTCCCTTTGCACACACACACCCCCCCACCCACACCCACCCACACCCCACCCCCCACCCCCGCCAACCACCGTGCTGAGGTAGCCCTGGTCTGGTTCTAATCGGGGCTGAAGTCGGCTCCCTCTTTCCCTCTTCTCTCCACCGCCCCCCCCCCCTCCTTCATTTCCACGGCTTTGGAAGCCGGAGTGTTCCAACTGTCTGCGTGCCAAGACCTTCCCGAGTCTGAAAGCTGCTGAAGTAACAGATCAGATTTTAGCAAGTGCTTTCCAGGCTGCGCGCCAAGCCCTCTTCTGATTCACTGAGAGCGAGCGAGCGAGCGGGGAGCGAGGCGGGGAACCCGCCGAGGGCTGCACCACCTTGGGCGAGGGTGTGCGGAGCGGGGCCGGCTCAGGAGTGGCCTCGCGGAGACAGCCCCGCGGCCCAAGCGCCCTGCTCTGCTCCCTCTTAGACCCATCGCCCCTAGTCCCGCGTCTCGGTGTTCGTCAGTCTGTCTGTCTGTCTCTCTCAATGCTGCAAATGCCTTAAAAACCACAGAGTAATTTACAACTGAAGCTAATTCTCCCCGGACTCGAAATCCACTCGGCTGAAAGGAGCCTTTTTGTTTGGAAGAGCGATCGGGGATGTGAAGGGACGGATGGCAGAAAATCCCTAGGTCCCAACTCCTCGCCGGCTGCGGGCAGGGGGCTCGGAGCGGCGCGTTGCTGCGGCTGAGCCCGCCGGCTCCAGCAGCCCCTCCCAGCAGAGGCCGACGGGGGCCGCGCGCCAGCGCGCCCCGAAGCGGAGACCCCTGCCCTTGGCCAGTCCCCCGCCGGCGCAGGGCGCGCGCGGAGCCGCCCTTCCGCGCCCTGGGAACAGGTGCACTGGGCTCGGCGCCCGGGAGGGGTGGGGCGCAGGGAGGGGGCGCGGCGTGTACCGCGAAGCAGGGGCGGGAGGAGGTCAGAGTCAGGGGCCCACGTACCTGTACCTGGAAGCACAGCAGCAGGAAGTGTAAACACCTGCGGGAGAGAGAAGGAGAGGTGTTCAGAGGGGGGCGCGCGGACAGACAGAGACGCGGTCCGAAAGTCAGACGGGCGTGCAGACGGAGCCCGGGCACCCAGACAAACGACCCTGGATGGGGAGCCCCGGGCGCGAGCACTTACAGGCAAGTGCAGGCGGAGGGCGCTGAATACATCGCTGGGCGGGGAGGAGGCGGCGGCTCCTAGCCCAGCCTGCACATGTCCGCTCCGCGCGGCCGGGACCGGGCGCCTCCGCCGGCGCCGCCGCCGCCGCCGCCGCTGCTGCTGCTCCCTCCTCGCCGGTTGCTGCTGCTGCAGACTCTGCTGCTCCGGGGCGCTCCGCGGCGCGCCCTGCGGCATCAGCGCCCCGCGCGGCTCCTCCCGAGCGCTGCGCCCTCCGGGCTGGCGCGGGGGCTGCGGGGCGGCCGCCGCTATGCAGGAGGCGCCCAGCCGGTGCGGGGAAGCTTGCTCACTGCCGGCCGGCCGGCCGTCCGGGCGTCCACGGGAAACTGGCTGTCCGGTTCACTCCGGGGACAGCATGCGTGGCGGGGCTGGAAGCAGGGTGCGCTCTCTGGCCGGGGCGCGGGGCTGCGCGGGGCCAGGGGTCAGCGCTCCAGGGCTGGAGCGCGCGGCTGCTGCACGAACGCGTCACGGCCGCTCCGTCTGGGCGCCCGCCGGCTCATGTCTCCTCCTCCGCGTCTCTCCGGCCGTGCGCATCGCCGCCTCCCACCACTGGCGGCGGCCGGGGCGTTTTCTACGCGCGGGCGGCGAGGGGGCGGGGGGCCGGGGGCGGGCCCGGGCCCGAGCCGGCACAATGAGGATGCGGGGCCCGGGGGCTCCCCCCTCGGGGCGCGGCCGGACGGGCGCTCAGCTCGCCTGGGTGCGCCGCGCCCACATCAAAGGCGGCCCTGCCTGCTAGCCTGCCTGCCGCGGCCTCTCCACTGCCTCCTCCTTCTCCTGGCGGCTCCGGTTGGAGGGAGGCTCTCAGACTCTCGGCGACGGGACCGGCAGCTCCAAAGGGGCAGAGCCCGCGAGACTGGAGCTGGTAAGCGTTAGAAGCCGTCGGAGCTCTGCGCCAGCGAGCAATGACCCGCGCCGCGGCGCAAAAGGTGCCCGAATTGGGCAGGCAGTGGTCCCCTAGAACGCAGTTAGCTGCGGAACGTCCTCACTCGCCCACATTCCCTCCTCATTCTCACACCCACTAGCGCTTGAGTAGGGGAGCAAGGAGGGGGCGGGCCAGGCCCAGCCCCTGGGCGGCTCCTTTTAAGAGGGGTCACTTTCACCCGCCCTGTGAGCCCACGCAGGATGATGGCGTGTCCCAGCTGCCCTCTCAGACACCTGGCCACACTAAGTGATCCCCTTCCACTCTCCTTCCCTGCATTAGATACAAACAAGTGCAGAAAACCTTGTGAGGTTGAGGGGGAGGGGTCTCCAGGGTGTCTCTTCCCCTCGGGGCTCGCGGCTGGGTACTCGGGATCCCAGCCGGGCTCTCCCGTAGACGAGCCAGCTTTGGAAACGCATGGCTGCCACCTAGAGGCTCAGAGGCTTCACTGCAACCCCAGCCCGGGCTGACTACGACCGGGAGGAGCCAGCAGGACTCTGGTCAGCGACCACTCCAGGCCCAACTCTGGTCTCCTGGCTTGAGACTTGCTGCCTTCGCATCCTAAGCAGTTTGACTCCTTTAACCAGGACCCCTCTGAGGACATCTCTTCTCACCGCCTCTGCCCCTTTTGAGGCGCTGCTCATCCTCCCCTCCAACCTCAAAACGATGTTCTTGTCACATGCAACTGCTGGACTCAGAGCCCAGACGGCAAGCTCAAAAAAACAAAACCCAGGAATCCAAATTACTGGGTTTAAAACCTCCTTGTGTCATTGGCTGGGGTTGATGTTCCCATTTCACTGGCGTGTAAATTGAAGTAGGTGCCACTGAACACTGCTATTCCCTAGTCATGGAATATGAAATGGCAACAATTGTCCAAAATACCAGGCCTCTCGGCCAGCCATGTGGGGCTCCCTTTCAAAGCTGAGGCTGTTTTAAACAGATAGCCTGTTTCAGCATTGGACACAAGTGCAGAAAACCTTTTCAAAACTAGCTGCCAGCCCTGACTGGTTTGGCTCAGTGGATCGAGCGTCGGCTTGCGGACTGAAGGGTCCCAGGTTTGATTCTGGTCAAGGGCATGTACCTTGGTTGTGGGCACATCCCCACTGGGGGGTGTGCAGGAGGCAGCTGATCGATGTTTCTAACTCTCTATCCCTCTCCCTTCCTCTCTGCAAAAAATCAATAAAATATATGTAAAAAAAAAAAACAAAAAAAAAAAACCTAGCTGCCAAGTGATCGGGAAAATTCTTGTGTGAAGTGCTGGGCTGAAGATACTTAGACATTCTCATTGCCAGAACTGGACTTGCAGTTACTGGCAAGTCCCAAGTCCTAGAGAAAACGAACCTACCCCAAGATAGGTGCAATGGCCAGATGCCACAGCCATGGACAGAAATGCCCTGCCGGGCCCAAGCCATCACCACCATCCTGGAGCTTCTGTTTATATGAAGAACTCTGAGACACCAGTCAAGAGGTAGTTTTGGCCAATTGCGGTGTTTGAAGTATCTCCTGGCTAAGAATCTTCCAAGTTTTCTATCCTGTTCCCTATTACTTTGGGATGGAATAGATCTATATGTTCTAAAATGCTTGCAATTTTTTTCAATGCTCAAAGCGTATTTGTCCATCTCACAAATAAGACTGTCACTCAAATACAACTGACCAAAGAGTTGTCAAGAGAACAGTTCTGAGTAAGGATACAAACTCAAGTCAGAGGTCCTAGATTTGAGTATTGCTTCTGACATTCTTATAAACTACAGCAAGTGTGTGCTTCCTACCAACAAACCCTGGCTAAGAACAGTAACCACTCAGTTGTGTTACTGAATGAGGTGAGGCACACATGAAGACTCCAGGAGCTTTTAGCTTTTATTAATTTGCTCATTATGATTTCCAGGTTATTTTCACATTGTTTTCATTTCATGCAGTTGGCAGGTGGGAGCATGCTCAATTTACAGTTGAAGGTGTTCAACCTGACTCCAAATCCAGTCATTTCATATAGTTCTCACATAACATGCATGAATCTTAAATGTTCTTTCCATCTGAATATGGCGTGTTCATATAGCACTTAGTATGTGCCACTATTTGTCATTTCTCAATTTAATTAGCACTTATTGAGATCCGGTGTAGTGGGTCCTGCGTGAAGAAGGCCAATAAGCAGAGCTGACCGTGCAAAGGAATATTCCAGGCAAAAGGCGTCAAGTGCCTGCAAGTAGGAAAAGGCTGGGTGGCAGGCAGGGTTGGCCAGGGGGGAGAGTGGGAGGAGATGAGGGTGAGAACAGGCGATGCTTGGTCATCCTTTGCAAAGGCCTTTTTTCCTAAAAGGCACTATTTACATAAAAAAGTTAAATGCATGTTTCAAGTGTACTTGGAGTTTAACAAATGGAGTTTAGTTATGCAAACACCTTTCCAGGTAACCTCCCCACACCCATCACTCGACCCAAGTTACCATTAATCTATTGGCCCTAGATTCTAGTTTCACATAATGGAACCATATATTAGGTGCTTGTGTCCAGCTCCTTTTGCTCAGCCTGTTTTTGAGACTCATCCTTGTCTGTTGTTGCTTTTATCTAGGTGTTCCTTTTTATGGTCAAGTAGTACTCAACAGTGTGGATATACCAGTTTGTTTGACAGTTTATCAAAGGCTTTGAAACTGAAGGTTAAACTCATTTTTAGAAACTGCAGGTGAACTAGCAGCACTTAACAGTGGCAGCAGTGAGCAGGCTGCCAGTCCAGGCCAAAGTTCGGTAGTTGGGATTAGGTGGCCATGCTAGTCCTGCTGGAACCATCAGACCTGCATTTCATTCCCCAGCTCTAGGCTAGTGAACTCTCAATTTTCTGAGATTCACATCTCACATCTGCAAAACCCCTGGTTGCCTTAAGGAAAATTGAGAAGGTATGTTGACTGCTAGCCCAATGAATGTCAGCCCCGCAGGGCAGGTACCTGCTTTGCTTACTGACTAGTCCTAAACACTTGAATAGTCAGTATATATCCAAACATTCGTGCACTAGGGGTGGAGGTGGGGGTGTCCCTCAGCCCAGCCTGCGCCCTCTTGGTCCGGGAACTCTCAGGGGATGTCTGACTGCCAGCTTAGGCCTGCTCCCCCCAAGGGGTCCTTAGCAGTGCCCCAGAGGCAGGTGACTCCCGCCACTGCCGCTGCACTTGCTGTGCCAGCCAGCCGTGAGCCTGGCCTCTGGCTGAGCGACTCTCCCCATGTGGGAGCGCACTGACCACCAGGGGGCAGCTCCTGCGTTGAGCATCTGCCCCCTGGTGGTCAGTGTGCATCATAGCTACCGGTCGTTCTGTCATTTGGTCAATTTGCATATTAGGGTTTTATTATATAGGACTAGAGGCCCGGTGCACAAAAATTTGTGCACTCAGGGGGAAGGGCGGTCACTCAGCCCGGCCTGTGCCCTCTCGCAGCCTGGGACCCCTCGGGAGATAACGACTTGCTGGCTTAGGCCTGCTCCTGGGTGGCAGAGGGCAGGCCCAATCCCTAGGTGCAGCCCCTGGTCAGGCTCAGAGCAGGGCTGATTGGGGAGTTGGGGTGCCGCCCCTGTCATGCACAGAGCAGGGCGGATCGGGAGGTTGCGATGCCACCCTCAGTCATGCTCAGGGTAGGGCTGATTGGGGGGTTGGGGCACCGCCCCATCACACTCAAGGCAGGGTTGATGGGCAGGTTGCAGCGCCACCCCGTCACGCACAGATCAGGGCCAATCAGGGGTGGGGCGCTGCCCCCGTCACACACAGAGCAGGGACCGTGTGTGTGTGTGGGGGGGCCGCCGCACCTTGTCACACACAGAGCTGGGCCGATCAGGGGGTTGGGGCACCGCAGCCTGTCACACACAGAGCCGCAGGGCAATCGGGGTTGGGGAGCTCCCCCCATCAGGCACAGAGCAGGGCTGATCAGGGGGTTGGGGCGCCTTCCCCTGTCACGAAGAGCAGGGCGGATAGGGAGGTTGTGGCCCCGCCCTGTCACACACAGAGCCGCAGGGCGATCAGGGGGTTTGGGCGCTGCCCCATCACGCTGATCCCAGTGCTGGGAGGCATATTACCCTTTTACTATATAGAGGCCTGGTGCACGGGTGGGGGCTGGCTGGTTTGCCCTGAAGGGTGTCCTGGATCAGGGTGGGGGTCCCCACTGGGGGCCTGGCCAGCCTGGGTGAGGGGATGATGGCTGTTTGCAGCTGGTCACACACCCTTCAGGGTGGGGGTCCCCACTGGGGTGCCTGGCCAGCCTGGGTGAGGGGATGATGGCTATTTGCAGCTGGTCACACCCCTTTCAGGGTGGGGGTCCCCACTGGGGTGCCTGGCCAGTCTGGGTGAGGGGCTGAGGGCTGTTTTCAGGCTGGCAGGTGACTGAAGCTCCCAACCGCTCCTTTTTTTCTTTTTTATTCTGGGCCAGCTTTAGCTCTGAGGCTCCAGCTCTTAGTCCTCCACTGCTGAAAGCAGGTTTCTGGCCTTTGTTTACCTTCTGTATTTGAAACAATGTTGCAATCCTGCTGGCTGAAGCCCGGCGGACTAAAGCAGGTTTCTGGGGTTTTGTTTAGCTTCTATATTTGTGACATAGTTGCTTAGAGTTGCAGCTCAGAGGCCGGCAGCGGCAGGCAGGC